GTTAATAAATATTTATTTCCGTTGTCTGACGTTACCAGTGGTCCTACTATATCCATAGATGTTATCTCCCATGGTTCACTTACTGATGTGAATCTTTGGAGGGGGGCTTTCTTGAAATGTGGCGAAGTTTTTCTTCGATTGCATGCATCGCATTCGGTACAATATTTTGTGACATCTGTCCTCATGTTAGGCCAGAAGAATCTTTTCTTTATGGCTAATAATGTTTTTTGTTGTCCTTGGTGACAATGGAAAGGTGTATCATGAAAGTCTTCTAATACTTTTCTTATAAATATTTTTGGAACAACGAGTTTGTCTCTCGTGTCTCCGTTTTCCTGTAAGTATAATATACCTTCTTTATCCACAAAATATTTTGCTGATGTTCCTTCGTCCTCCTCTAGTTGTAATAATATTCTCTGGCAAAATTCATCTTTTTTTTGTGCTTTTTTCACTGTTTCACTGTCCCATATTGGTTCCCAAGTATTTTCTTCTTCGACTATATTTATTTTTCCTCCGAGTCTTGCCTTTTTCGTTTCCTGCAGTAGTACTTCTATGTACATTTGTGTCCCGTAAAATATAAATTGAACCATTTTAATTACTTCTTCCCATTTTAGTCCAGGTATTTGTTGGTTTGTTGTGATGAACGTTATTTTCTTCTCCTTGTTGGTTTCGCAGCTGATTTTTAGTTGTTTTAATCCTTCCCAAAGTATTTCGTACGATGTTTCTGTTTCTGGCGAGGTTCTGACGATTACGAGATATATTCTTCGATCAGCGGTGTTCCATTCTGTTACATTCTGCACTGTTTCATTTGACGTGTTTGGTGGACCATATATATTATTTAATGTTTTCATTGTTTCTTCCTGAGTTTTTCTTTCTTTGGTTGTAAATATTGCAATTGTTTCTCCTTCTGGTAGAGCCAAAAATTCTTCTGTTTTATATTTTACTCTATCTTTTCCTGGAAGATCGTTATTTTCTTTATACTCAAGAAAATCGTCATATGAAGGTTCTGCGTAATTTGTTGCTGCGTCATACATTCTGCTTAGAGCGTCTGCATTTCCATGTTTTCTTCCTGCTCTATGTATAACTTCAAAGTCATACTCTGCCAGTGTTAGTGCCCAACGTGTTAATCTTGAATTAGGATCCTTTAAGTTTAATACCCATTTTAGTGCTCTATGATCTGTGATTATGGTGAAGCGTTTTCCGTATACATAACATCTGAACGTTTTAATCCCAAATATGACTCCTAATAGTTCTTTTTCTGTTGTTGAGTAATTTTGTTCAGCCCTGTTTAATTTTCTGCTTGCATAAGCTATGGGTTTTTCCCTTCCTTCTCTTATTTGACTTAGTATTGCGCCAATTCCTATGTTAGATGCATCCGTGGACAATATGAATGGTTTTGAAAAATCCGGAAAAATTAATAATTTTTCTGTAGTTAGTGACGTTTTCAGTTGGTCCATTGCTTTTATTATTTCTTCGGTAATTTTAAATTTCGTGTCCTTTTTTGTTAATTCAACTAGTGGTGCTGCAATTTCTGTTATGTTTGGGATAAATCTTCTGTACCAGTTTACTATGCCTAAGAATCCTCTTACTCCTTTTACATTTTTTGGTAGTGGGTATTTATGGACTGCCTCCAGTTTTTCCGGATCTGGAGAAATTCCTTCCTGGGATATTATGTGGCCTAAGTATTTTACTTTGGGCAACATGAAATTACATTTCTTTGGTTTCAGTTTTATATTAGCTATTTTTAGTCTTTTGAATACTTCTTCTAAATTGTATAAATGATCCTCCTCTCCTGTGTAATTAAACACAATTATATCATCTAGATATACCATGCAGTTTACTCCTGTGAGTCCTGCTAATGTTGCATTCATAAACCTTTGGAATGTGGCTGGTGCATTGACCAGGCCAAATGGCATTTTTGTATACTCATAATGTCCTTGATAAGTACTGAATCCTGTTAGTGGAATTTCATCCTCTTTCATGTCGACTTGGTGATAGGCTTCTGCCACATCAATGACTGAAAATATCGTCTGTCCTCCTGCTTTGTATCCTTGTAACAAATCTGATATGTTAGGTAGTGGATAATATTCTTTTTTGGTTACTGCGTTTAATCCTCGATAGTCGATACACATTCTTATTTTTTCTATTCCTTCAGCATTTTTCTTTACTACTAAGACCACTGGAGCGGACCAAGGGCTCGATGATGGTCTAATAATTTTTGCTGTTAATAGTCTATCTATTTCTTTTTGTAAAATTTCTCTCTGTTGGTACGGGATCCTATATGGTGCCTTACAGATTGGCTGGGTTCCTGGTTCCACTGTTATGCTATGTTTTACTTTTGTTGTACTTGTTAAAATTTCATCGTCGTCCGTGAATAAATGGTGATATTTTCTTATTAATGATATTAGTTCTCTTCGAGTTCTCTTTTCTATGTGGTCCAGTTTGAATCCTTCTATTATCCAATTATCCGTTGTAATATCAAATTTATTGATTATTTCTTCTGTTTTGTATGTGGGTTCTTCTTCTTCCTCACATCGGTATGCTTTGCCTATTTTCTCGCCTTTTTGTAACGTTACTTCCTGTAATGACATGTTTATTATCCTTATTGGTACTTTCCGTTTATTTTCTGTTACACTATTGGCGATCCTTACTATGTGTTGCCCGTATTCTTGGGATTCACATGCTATTATGGCACCTTCTAATGCTTGCTTACATTTTCCTTCTGTGTGCACCTCGGTACGTGCTGGGATTATTACTTCTTCTTCCAGTATTATGTCAGTTTGACATCTTAAACTCTGAGGGTTACTTAAATTTTTTGTAGAGTTTCTTCCTTTTCCTTGTATTTCCGTTACTTGTCCTTTTTTGATTTTCTGCTCATCTTCTTGAAGTATTTCTTTTGGAGTGGTCTGTTCCATCGTTTTGATAATACTTCCGGTGTCTTCGACACGGTTCCTCTTCATGAATGTCTCCACCTTTTGGAGCCATTCTAACCATATTTCTGGTTTTGTTTGTATACTGTAATTATTTACATTTTCCTTTTGCTTCAAATTTTCCTTTTGTTTCCCATTTTCCTTTATGCCCCTATTTTTCTTTGCGCTAGTATTTTCCTTTGCATTTCTTTTATGCTGCACCTTTTTATTTGTCATTACCTCGGCTACCTTTTCGAGCCATTTCCTCCATTCTCTTTTATTCAGAGTGCCTTTGTCTTCCATGTACCTTTTTCCTTGGGTCCTTTTTTCCTCTTTAATTGTATACTGAAATCTTATTTGCTGGCTTTCCTTGCCTTGTGTTGCTTCTTCACTTTTTCCTTTTTCTAACATATTATTTGACAGCTTCGCTGTTTCTTCCTGGAGTTTTTTAATTTCTCCTTTTAGGACTGTTATGGAGTGTTCTAACTCCAACTCCTTCCTACTATTCCTAGTATATTCGTAATCATCACTTATTTCGCTCGCCTTGAGCAGTGGGACTCTTTGCCCCCATATTTCTAGTGATGGTGTACCTTTGTATGATACCGTAGCTTCCTGAAGAGTCAGAAAGTCCCTTCCTAAGAGAACTGCGACTTCACCCATGGTGACGTCATCGCATGCTATAACCTCCACATTATAGTTATTCCCCATCGATTCTGTGGCTATTGCTACTTTTGCTGAGCCGAACAGTTCGATTGAATGACCCGTTATTCCACGTAACGATATTTGATCCGTTACACTTGTATCCAGATCCCAATGAGGAATTATCGATCTTTTGATCAGGGAATATGCCCCTCCAGTATCTATCATACATGGCCTCATTATTCCATTAATTTTTAGGGACACTATGTAGGGTGTTTCATTAAACCTACTTGTGTCTGTATCATGGTGATATAAAGTAACCACCTTTTTATACCTATTTACCATCCTTTTCTTCGGGGGTGTCGATTGTTTTGATCGACTGTGCCTCTTTTTGGCTACCCCTTCTTCTTCTCCTCTACGTTTCCCCGTAAATCCTAATAGACCACCAGCTCGGGGATTTTCCGTGGTCCATTCTAGTTTAAATTCCTCCCATTATTATTTCTGTTTTGGCGGTCCCTGAAGAAGATACCACTTACGAAGGAAACGACCCTTATTTCCAAACTCCTTACTCGTACACTAACAATAGTTTAAACGCAAACGCTAACGACTGCTTAGCAGACGATTGTTATGTAAATAATTACCCAGATCAAATGAACGCCCAGCGCCCAAATTCAGAATCAGAAAATTTAGACGATTCACAAAATTTTCAGAAAATATCCAATACCACCAATCTAACATAGAAATATACTCCTTATATGACAAAAAAGATCTACCATTTATCGTAATTTCCAACCCTCCTTTAAAACTGTTAATCGATACAGGTGCTTCAAAATCCTTCATTAATCCCGAAATAGCCGAAAATTATTTCTCCTAATATATCTTTAAAGAACCGATCACAATAAGTTCTGTTTTTCAAACAACAACGAGAGACCTTTGCTTAGAAATACCCGCTTTTTCTGAATTAAAATGTAATAAAACTATGAAATTTCATCTCTTCAAATTCCACCATTTCTTTGACGGTCTTATAGGTTACGAAACTCTTAAAGATCTAGAAGTAGAAATTGATTTAAAAAATTCGCTTCTAAAAACAAAAGATACGAATCTAATATTATCTCATTATGAATCTAAAGAAAAACTTTTATTTTTCGCTCGGATTGAACCATATTCTATTGAAACTGCAAAAATCCCCGTCAACGTTCAAAATGAAATAGTCAAAATTCCAGATTTAAAACTTTTTAATTGCTTTGTTCGAGAAGGTATTGCAATTTCAAAAATGGTTATGCTTGTGTCGACATACAAAACAATACCGAAAAAACTCAAGATATCTATCTTTATGAACCCATCCACGTAGAACTCCTGAACGAAACTTACGAAATATTCCAAATGTCCGTCCAAAACCCGCCAAATAATTTCTATGACAATTTCGACATAAACCAATACATTAGAACTTCTTACCTAAACTCCGAAGAAAAATATCATATAGAAAAACTGTGTAGACAATTTCAAGACATCTTTCATAAAGAAAATTTACCACTGACGTTTACTAATCAGGTGAAACACGAAATTAAGACAAAAGACGAAACCCCTATTTATAGTAAAACCTATAGATATCCATACGTTCATAAGCCCGAAGTAGAACGACAAATAAATGACATGCTCGAAAAAGGCATAATAAGATCAAGCGATTCCCCATGGTCATCGCCAATATGGATAGTTCCGAAGAAATTAGACTCTTCAGGAAAAAGGAAATGGCGTATTGTTGTTGACTATAAATCAATGAAAAAACAATTGACGACCGTTATCCTATTCCGAACATTACAGACATACTCGACAAACTCGGACGATGCTGTTATTTTTCTACCCTTGACCTCGCTAGTGGATTTCATCAGATTGAAATGCACCCTGACGATATCAAAAAGACTGCTTTCAATGTCGAAAACGGTCACTACGAATATGTCAGAATGCCTTTCGGCCTGAAAAACGCACCTGCTACATTCCAACGCGTAATGGACAATGTCTTGAAAGAACTTCGAGATAAAGTTTGCCTCGTTTATATGGACGATATAATCGTTTTTTCTAGTTCTCTACAAGATCACATTACAAATTTAAAGAAAGTGTTTTAAAAACTTCGTTAAGCTAATCTTAAAGTTCAGATTGACAAATCTGAATTTCTAAAAAGGAAGTAGCCTTTTTAGGACACATTGTGACTCCTGAAGGCATCAAACCTAACCCCGAAAAAGTTAAAGCCATTATTAATTATCCGATTCCGAAAACAACTAAAGAAATAAAAAGCTTTTTGGGCCTTTTAGGATACTATAGAAAATTCATTAATAACTTTGCAAAAATTACAAAACCCTTTACAAACTGCCTGAAAAAAGGGGCACATATTGACATAAACGACCCGCTTTACACAAAGACATTTGAAGACTGCAAATCCCTACTTACAAACGAAACTATCCCAATCTACCCCGACTTCTCCAAAGAATTTATTTTAACGACAGATGCAAGTAACTTCGCTATCGGAGCCATCCTGTCCCAAGGACCTATTGGTCAGGACAAACCAATAGCATATGCTTCCCGTACTCTTAATGCCGCTAAGCAGAATTACTCAACGATTGAGAAAGAATTGTTAGCAGTAGTCTGGAGTACGAAACATTTCAGAGCTTATCTATTCGGCACGAAAATCAAAATTTTAGTAGACCACAAACCCCTACAGTGGCTCATGTCTCTGAAAGAACCCAATTCTCGTTTGGTTCGGTGGAGACTAAACCTCTAGGAATTCGACTATGAAATTATATACAAAAAGAGATCCTCTAACACCAACGCAGACGCTCTCTCCAGGATAGAAATTTACCCTATTGATAAATCTACTAATAACCCTTCAAATATCTTCGAATACATTGAAAACTTTAACGAATCTATTGACAATTCTAATCCCACAACTTCAAAAACACTATCTCAAACGATTCGGGAACACCTCGACGTACCAATAATAACTGACCAAGACATCCAATCTGTACTTGCAGAATTTGACTCAAATGACAAAGACGACTCTGACGGTGATACTATACATACCAGTCAAGAAAACCCTATATTAGGCATACATATAACCGATAAACCTTTAAATACATTTCTAAATCAAAATATCATAATTAAAGTTAATCAAAACCCCAGGCAAGAAATAAAAAAAATATTCAATGCTCCCGCTAGGACTAGATGGTCCCTATACGTAACGAATAACTCTTTTGAACAACAATAACATTTCTAAAAGATTACGGTGTCCCAAAGAAACGATATGTTTTCTTTTTTCAAAACGACAGCGAAGAAATTCTTTATAAAAATATGTGTAAATTAATTCCGTTAATTTTCAAAAATTCCGCTTTTATACTTCTAAAATCAAATACCTTACTATATGACATAAAAAACGAAACAAGACAAAAAGAATTACTGAAAAATCAACATGAAGGAATAACAAATCACAGAGGTATTCATGAAACAATAAATCAGTTAAAATTAAAATACTATTGGCCAAAATTAAACAATGACGTAAAAGATTTCATCAATAATTGTTCAGTTTGTCAACAAGCAAAATATGAAAGACACCCTCCTTTAATAAAACTCCGACTCCAAAAAAACCCCTTGAGACACTACACGTAGATACGTTCAAATTTGACAATACGATTACATTGACAATATGTGACAGTTTTAGCCGTTTTGGGCAGGTTTATATAGTACCTAGTATGGCAGCCCTCCATATTTATCAAGCATTATTACAATTTGTTTTAACTTTTAAAATTCCCGAAAACATTGTGTCAGATTGTGGAACAGAATTCATTCAACATCTTCTTAAAGATTTTGCCAAACTATATCGCATTAATTGGCACTATACCTTACCACAAAATCCCAATAGCAATGCAATAGTAGAACGGTTCCATTCAACCCTACTCGAACATATGAGAACATTAGCAATAACCAAACCTAAATTGAATTCATTCGAAAAACTAACCTTGTCCGTTATAGGATATAACAACTCAATACACTCAGCTACTAAATGCAAACCAATATACCTTCTTTTAGGTCACCTCGAATTAAAAGACCCTTGTGAAATAGATAATGAAGCTCAACCTTACAATATTCAACTTAGCGAACATAAAGAAAATATGAAACAAATTTACAATAAAATACATACCGAAACAAATGAGAAAAAACAAAAGCTTATTGCAAAACTCAACGAAAAAAGAACTGATCCTCCCGACATTTTACCAGGCACAGTCGCATATAAAAAACGGACAGACAATCTGAAACCAAACCTCCATATAAACCCGAATATATCATAGCATCTAACGATCTCATAGTCACAACTTCTCAAAACAATTACCATAAACAATCTTTCAAACCTCCCAGGCAACTAATTAATAAAATCCCACAGGACGACAATTCTTCAAACAGTAGCGAGCCAGAAGATTCAGATAACATCCCTCAAAAATAACCCAGGCATCCTTCCTTTCAAACTCGGATCAGCAAGAGTGAAGATTGCTCCCCACACATTTCTCCATTATATTCCTGTAACTCCCATAGAAAATCAAGTAATTAACCTAACTTCTCAGTATTATAACCTAGATAGATTAATAAATCAATCCTCCACTTTCAATAAATTTAATTCCTTACGTAACGCCTACAAACATTTACAATACGAAGTTAACAAAATAAATGTAAAAATGAACTCTATATTTCCTTCAAACCGTCATAAAAGAGGGTTAATTAATCCTTTAGGTTCCTTAGTGAAATTTATCAGCGGAAACATGGACCAAGAAGATGCAAACCAAATTTACGCAAGCATTTCTGAATTAGAAAATAAACAAAATAAAATTATAAGAAAATTTAATTCTCAACTATCTTTAAATAAAAATCTAATGCGAGTCGAGAACGAATCATTATTTACAATTTCAGATAATCAACTTTTAATCTCTAATAAAATTAATGAATTAGGAAAAGCACTTAATGAGACGACATTTAGTTACACACACTATTTAGAGTTTCTAGAAATCTTTAACCAAATAAAAATAAATTCGGATTCAATGATGAGCTTCCTCACTGACATTGAAAATGCAATTAGCTTTGCCAATCTTAAAATACTACATCAAAGCATAATCATCCCCGATGATTTAAAGCAAATTATCAAAGAATTGTATAACTTGTATCCGCACGACCAACTTATTTTCATCGAAGACGAAATTATAAAATACTACGAAATAATTGAAACTAAAGTATACTACGATAAAGACAAGATAATTTTCTCGCTAGATTTCCCTTTAGTGTATTCAGATTTATTTAACTATTATCATCTTTACTCCGTTCCCAATGAAAATCAAACTATCCTTATTCCCCCTTCCACATACCTAATCCTTGGCAACGATCAGTACCAATATCAAGAAGAAGAATGTCTACAACTCCAGCCATACTTCCTCTGCAAGATAAATCAACTACAAGCTATTCAAGAGAACCAAGACTGCATAACTTCAATTTTATCAGTTACATCATCCCCTACACAATATCGACAGATACCCGTTCGAATTTTCGGCCAATTATTAGAGGAAATCAATAAAAGCCATTACATCGGCATTTTTCCAGAACCAGAGAAAATAAAATCAAATTGCGCAGAAACAGATGTTTCCATTCTTCACGGTACCTACTTATTTATAATTCCACCGAAATGTTCGATAACTACTAAGAAATATTTCTATGAAAATGAGAAAAGCATCATAGAGGGTCACCCTATCAAACTAGAAAATATCGGCGAGATGTCAATCCCCACCATCAGCATACAAAAAATACACCTCCAAAAAATTCATCTGGACGAACTACATAAAATACAACTTAATGAAGATAGTATCGAGCCTATACAAGAATTTCTCAACTATACCACAACCTTCAAATGGGCAACAGGAATTAGCTCGTCCCTCTTTAGCTTGACCCTTATATACTTAATACTAAGGAACAGAAAATTAATCACGCAATTTCTAAAACTGAAGAAGAAGAAGAAGCCTTCTGCCATTGACGCAACTCAAGTGGTTCCACCTCAGTTACACCCTTGAGTTCCTTTTGGAGGAGGAGGAGGAGGAGGAGGAGGAGGAGTTATGTTATAGGAACTACGAACGTTATCAGAAACCATCCATAAACACCACCATATATGGAATCGAACATCGACCACATCGCCGGCACGTCACATGTGCTGATTCGGCAAAAGTTAACGTTTCATTTAATAATTAATATTTTCATCAGAATGATTGTAGACTTGTAGATAAAAACACGTATTGTATTTAAATTCAAATAAAAATTGTTTTTTAAAAAATAACTTTTTATATCAAGAAACATAAAGACCACCCTGTATACAGGGTGTCCCGAAATAAGACGGTCATATTTTAACAGCGTAATCTACATCCTAAAATAGGAGTAAAAGTTCATATAAACATAGGTCTGAAAACGTTTCATTTTCGAGATACAGGGTGTTACAAGTGAAGTCCTGATGGCACATTTTTGTAAATATTTTTTAAAATTTCTTTAGTCACCGGATTTACAAAGTTAAAATGAATAAAATTTCTGATTCCACAGGCCTACTAATTATTATTTACACTTTCGAATAAGATAACATCAACTTATCATGAAATTTTTAAATGCTTTTCGCTTGAAAATGGTGCGTCCTAGCGAGATTCAACAAAAGCAGCT